CATAGCGCTACAGTCTCTAAACGATAATTCCCTTGTGGCAATTTGAAACTGCTCGTTACTTTAAAGGTGTGTTCAACTAAGTTAGTTTGTAAGAAGCAGTTGATAGAGTAACAGTATGTATGTGTAGCGAAACTTCAAAATTATCAAAAATGAAGCCTTAAAACTTGTTCTTTATGCATTATATAATACATGTAAAGCAAATTAGAAATACAACACAGATGAATAATTTTTTGTATCGTTGGTCATTTTAAAATTTTGATAATTGATGTCGTTATATACACGAAATTTTCATTCATAATTACGAACCACCTAATTAGAAACTGTAAATATTATAACCTGCCATAACTACTCCAAGCAAAAGTGACTCCTACAAACTGGCCAATATATGAATATAAATTCTACACGTATTTTAATCGTCCTTGGTTTGAGCACCTTTTTGCGGTGACCCCGTAAATGTGTCCTAGAAGGGGAGAAAAGGTTAGAAAGGTCAGTTCCTAAATCACCCTTAAGTATACGGTCCCAGCTAGCATTTTTTTCGGGCGCATTGCAGACTTTTTGGGGCAGACTTCGGGACAGTGTCCCACGTAAGTAGATTTACTCGAAGTTTTTTGCCCCAAAAAGTCTGCAATGCGCCCAAAAAAAATGCTAGCTGGGGTATGCTAAAATTAAGTCGCATCTTCGGCATGATAACGGGAAGAGATTTAAATGCTCCATCCTCTTATCATAAGGAAGGTGTGAGATACCATTAACTAATTTGGTTCCTACCCTCTCTACTCCTTCCAGGATATGTGCCGCTTTTTTGAGGCATAGACTCACTGCTTGTATGCAGGATTCCAGATAAGGTTTGACATGTTGCATAGAGTACTTGGTGGAACACACCGTCGTCTAATCGTTTGGAAGCCCTTAGAAGTGCCCATAGCATTCGAAAAGCGTGAGCTGCAGCTCCATTACAATTCGCCGTTGTTTCTAAGTCATGACTTACGATAATTCCAAAGTCATTTTGTTTCCTGAAACCTGGAAGTTCTGTGTCCCCCGGGGAGTACGATGTGTGGAACCTTTGACCTAGATGCATTACCGTGCTTTTTCTGGAATTAATTTCCAGCCTCCAGAGGTTAGCCTATTCAGCTAATTTATCTAAATCTTTTTGTAATACCGACCTATCATCGTTATTATATATGGTTTTCCATATCTTATTATTTTCCGCAAATTATAAGGAAGATGAGGTAAGAATTCTCATCATTTCTTTTACGTATAATAGGAATGGCAAGGGGCCAAGTACAGTTCCCTGAGTTATTCCACTTGGTACTACTTTCCATCCTAAAAGTACACCATTAACTCTTACTTTCTGCCCTCTATCCATCAGGTAGTTGCTAAACCACTCACATAGGCGTTGGTCGAATTCAAAACATTTGAGTTTACTAAGGAGACCTAAGTAGGATACCTTATCGAATGCTTTACTGAGATCGATAAAGACTACATTCAATAGACGGTCTTATCCCAGGCTTCTACCCAATCTTCCCTAGCTAACAGTAAGTTTGTCAGGCAGGATCGTCCTGATCAGAATCTGTGCTGTTCCACTGCCAGTAAGCCATGTTTCTCCATATGAGCTAAGAGCTGATCCCTTGTAAGTGTTTCCAATACCTTTTCTATAATGCGGGTCAGACTTACAGGCCGGTAGTTGGACAGTCTGGGGTGTATCAACAGACCAGTCACCTAGGTTTGCTGCATTGTGGACTGCAGGTGTATTCGCTTTCCTAATGTTTGGACGAGCAGCCGTTAACCTAGGTATGATAGCGTGAATCCTAAACGTAAAAGTAGTAACTATGTGGTCACTACTGTCTAGTGGCTGCAGACACCTAATGTCACCGATATCTTCCTTTTAGTGTGTTAGCACCAAGTCTAGAGTGGAAGAATCATGTTCACTGTGGTATTGTGTTAGTTCATCTATATGCTGCACAAATGCGCATTCAAGCACTTTCAGTGTAAGTTCCCCGTTGAAACAAGTGTACAAGGTAGTTGATGTTAATTCCTCCCAATTAATATGTGAGTCATTAGAGTCACCTACTATTAGACACCTATTGCTGCTACTCCACGTCCTGAGGTGATTGAGTATGAAATCGTCAGCTTGTCTGGCAGGACTTCTATAAATAACCCAATTGTCATTGTACCCTTGTTCAAGTTAACGACACAGTTTGCTGCTTCACTGGTGCCGCTGTCATGAGCTTCCGACAACGTTAATCTAATTCCTATACCATACCGGATGTATAAGGCAACCCCATCACCTTTCCGACTAATTATTACTGTCTGCTCCAATGCAGATGTACCCATATATGAGTGGATTAAAGTCTATACCACCAACAGCCATGTTTCAGTGATAGCAACCACAATAGGTTGTAATCCTGTAGACAACACTTCTAAACTGTTGTCAGGAGTGCCATATACTTTCCATTCTCCAAATCGTGCCACCATTTGATCTTTAGATGTAGAACATGAGTTTGTGATCTCCATTACGCGTTTGCTGGTGGAACGCTTTCTCTCCTTGGAAAATAGTCTCATGTGTCGTCAGAGGAAAGTGAATACAGGGGGTTATGAACAAGATTCGTCTGGAACTCATTCGAATCGACGTTCAACGCACCAATAAATCGAAGTGAAGCGGTTATCGAGCTCACGGTTTTTTTAATAAACCGATTTAAGTTCGTGTATGATGGTTGATCAGTGGTAAGATTCAGACGGCATGTTTCTTAAATAGTTTAATTGTCGACCATGAAGTCACAGTCAGGGTGCTTCAGTGTTGTACGTCAGAATTGAATTGTACAGATGAAAGGCAGTGGTTGAGTTATATGGAGCCTAATACACAACGGACTCCAGTTTAGCTGTCTTCGCGAACTCAACCGACAGTGCTCCCATAAGTAACAAAGTGAAGACAGAACCAGCCCCACTTCCAAAGAAAACCAGAACTTGCAGTCCTACAGGTCTCTTGGATAGCCTGCGTATACAATCCAACGCCTCGTCAACCAGTTCCTTACCTACAGTGTGCTGACCACGTGCATGATTATTCTCAGTCCTCCTTACCACTGATCATGCCAAAGTGGAATGACTGCTTATATGTTCCATTGCGTACTGTCAATAATTGTCGGCTCAAGATCTGTGAATACCGCATGGAACGCAGTGACCTTAACTCGTCCTCCTAGAAGAAGTACTAAATGCATTATGTTTAGTTAAAGTTGTTGAGTAACTTGGGAATGACCCATCTGATTGAATTTTGTACGCAAGGTAATATAACTCTTAGCAAGAGTTACCTGTTTAACCAATATGGAGACTGACACAGTCACTCATGATTGTTGAAGAATGTTTCCAGAAAATTGCTTCTTACTATACTGAACTATGACGCCAATCCACCAAGTTGGAGTTTGTTGAAAGATTTTCGGTAACATGACGCGAAATTGCCCACAATGAGCGTACCTCATCTTTGAAAATCTAGACATTTTTGATAGCCTTTTCATTATTCTTCCCACATGTATTAGTCCATTATGGTTCCACTAATTTGTCTATCGCTTCGAAATGCAATAACATACTTGTGCGCCTCTGTGAAGTTATAACGTGGTCTTTGTTCGATGTCTGTATAATGTTTCATTATACGGTGAGATACATAGTGCAACTCAGTTATCCAGTTCACACTAATTCATCGTTGTATGAATCACATCCAATGTATGAGTATTATTGGGTTGCTCTCGACGAAGTGGAGGGAGAGGGTTTCGGACTCCGCTTTTCATTCACATAGTCACCGACTCATATGGTGATGCTAGAAACGTAATATCTCAGGTATTCAAAATGCAATGATCGTGTTTCATAGCTATATAATGAGACAATACTGCTGCGTGGCATACTTGATAATTACTCGCAGGTGGTTACATTTTTCGCATCATAATAAGCACAGGATATCAAAGACGAAATAAGTTTTTCCTGTCAACATCCCGTTGGCGAACGGCCCATCAAAGCTGGTGCTATTGACAGAATAATTAATTCGTCCAGTCATTTCAGATGGATATTAATGTTTGTGACTCCTGAAGCAACATTTTGCCTTCTTAGCATCCTCAAATTCTTATGAGGCTGCATCTTAAAAGTTTCGTCAGAGGAAAAAGAAGCCCAGGAAAAGTTTCTCTTCAGCCATTTTATTCTTAGTGCATGTACAGTCTCATTTATACATAGTTTTTCTTTCTCTGGGTCAGCATACTTACAATTATTATTTATTCAAATGTTGGTTTGTAGGGATTTGATTGGTTTCAGAATTTCATCATGAAGCTACATTGGTTAGGAAACCATGAGAAAACCTGGAAGTAATGGGCAGCTGTTACAACCTGGTTTGGGACTCTTCAGCAGTAGGCACCCGCCCCGGCTCGAATCCAGGACCTTCTGGTTACAAGGCGAGCTCGTCGCTCCATATTGTGAATTGGCAGAAGTTATAATTCATGGACCATTAGATCGAGTCCCAGTGGCTTAATGGTCTACTCTCTCGCCTTGTAATCAGAAGGTCCTGGGTTCAAGCCCCAGGAGGTGCGTACTGCTGAAACGCCCCAAACTAAGACAAAACAGCTGCTCAATACTTCCAGGTTGTGTAGCCGGTGCCAGTTCATGATTAAATCCCGGAATTTTTATTTAATTCGAAATAGTGACAAAGGTGAGATTTAAAGGAGATAATTCATCAAGATATGAAAATTTGCAAGTGTGTTCAAAAACGAATATCAACATTGAAAAATGGTACAGAAACCAAAATAATAAGTTCCTATATAACAAAACTATCATTTGCCCATGTAAGGTCAAACGAGGGAATACAGACCTCAAAGGAGCCATGTAAAATTCAAAGTCCAATTTCATTTATTTTAGTCTTGAAATTCACAATAAAGTTCTGAAGTATAGCAGCTTAAACTATTTACTTAACTATCCTTGTTACGTCGCCATTTCACATGATAAGTTTTATTCCTTCATTGCAGGTTGTCACGATGGATAGCACGCAAATAACATATGATTACTTAATACCGTCATTCATATCAACGGTAACTCATCCAATGACATATGCCAGAGCGTTAATGTTGGTAAGATATCATTTCCTGGCTCAAAATAAGCTTTCAAGTTGGGTTATGAACCATTTCCACCAGTTCGGCGATTTTCTTTACGTAATCTCTTTCAACCTGAATATGAAGCATACTACTACCCAAATGTCTTCACATACTGTGAGTCATCTTTACAAGTATTCTAATACGACTGAAGGTCATAAACTTCGACAAGAAGTTGGCCTTTATAGCATCTTCACTACTGGTCTTCCTGCTAGTGTTATCGGATCATTTGTTAAATCCTATTCCACTGATAGAATTATGGAGGTATATGAATTTTAATCTATAACCATTCTTTTTAAAAGCACTTAACTCCATCCTTTTTTGAAAAGAAGACATTTTTCGAAACTGAAAGAGGAATGAAAAATTTCTTGATTAGTGTAAGTTTAATTGTTATCACTATCGATAAATTTACTTCAGACCGGTAAGGTTACCGTCGCTCGTGTAGTGGGCACAATTGTCAGCTATCCCTTTCAAGGTATCTTATTCATCCAAATATTTTCATTTCAGAAACAAAGTTGTAATGATCCGCCAAATGTCTCAGTTCATCAACAGATCGCATTTATACGAGTAAGAGATGCTTGCACTAAATTCATACTTTTCTCTTTCTACAGTTGTATTTTCGTTGCTTTTCCTAGTATATTGAAACATGAAGGGTTATTCAGTTTTTTCAGGTATGTAATTTTTTTTAAGTGATACAAGTTTTTTCACAGTGGTTTAACACCTAGACTTATAGGCGAAGTGATTACCGTTTGGTTGACTGCCTGTCTCGCTTATTTGTTCAATAAATATATCTTTACAAACCAAGTAGACCCGTCTCTGAAGAAACATACACCATTTGTGACTGGGGTAAGTCCGAATAACCGTTTTAACTTGTTTAAAAATTTCCCCCCTACTGTACCGTTATCCACATTCGTTCCGCCGATTAAATGCTTGTTTTACTAGTAAATTTTCCCCCTCCACTCACTGAATGACATCGTATAGTTTGCTAAGATTAAGTTGTTATCGGTGGTTCAGGATATCGAAATGTAACTGGATTTTGTGTATGTGGTTATTTATCGAGTGACTATTCTTAAGATTCGTAAGACTAAGTAAGGTTAAGTGTGTTGTATAAAAATCGTTAGATTAAAGCATGTACTTGAATGCAAGTTTTGTCAGCAATTGCTGATTGATTTTGTCTGCAACTCAGCATGACATGAGCTTAGGCATGAAAAGTGCTTTCAAACGAACTACTATAAAACCATACGTTTATAAAAAACCGTCTTTTCTGTGTACTCCGTTATACCTGACCAAATAATAATGTCCACAAGGGCTAAGCTCCTAATCTGAAGTAAACTTAAGATAACATTTTATTAATTGGCCGCATACGGATCTAAGGGGAAGTTTTATAACAGAACAGGTTTTTGAGGATGTAGTAAGTGCCAGCAAGAAATATTTCTTTTTGGTTTTTATAACTGTGTAAAAGGGATAGAATTGTAATAAAGTTGGCTAGTGTAGAACATGTTGTTTCTTTCTTTCAGTTGTTACTTATTTGAGGGTTCGGCAAAATCACATCATTGTATACTAAAACTGCTGAAACTATACCCTTCCAAGTGGGTTTCATTGTAGGATGTATGACTCGTACTTGTGTAGCATATCGAGTAACGTATTGAGTAAATCCAATATTATTTGTACATTAGTAGAAAAGCTATTAAAGAAAAAATGAGAGTTGACATCTCTGAAAGAGTTTTATAAGCAATAAACAACGATGGACGATAAGCGCCTGAAACATACTAGACAACATTTGTTAAGTGTGAAATCAGTGTAGGGTTAATGATATACTAAATATCAGTTGTCTTTTGTCCCAGTAGTTTTCCTCTCTTTATACTAGCATCCGCTTGCTATTAAGTTAGATGCAGCACTTTTTCAAAGTGTAAAACAGTTAATATATTTTGCTTTGTATTTTATTGCTTTCTGGCATACGTTTTAATTGCACGAAGCAAGGCATCATGGCTTGGAATAATATCCTGTTTCCTATCCCACCAAGATAGGAAGTAAACACACATAAACTCGTTTCTGCTAAATAGTTCAGAGACTTGGCTTGTCACCAGGATAATTTCCGACAGCCTTCTGCAGGCTTTTATCAACAGCTACCTTTCTCCATTCTGACGATCAGATGGCAAGAAAAGATTATCAATAAGAAACTCTGGGGACGAACCAAGTAAGAACCATACGCCCAACAAATATGTCAAAGAAAGTGGAGATTGGCTAAACACGATGCGAAGACCGTTGAGTGACATCCAGCTCCAGGTACTCGAGTGAAAACGGAATGGAGTGGACGAGTGGGTCGTTCAGTGGTGACATAGAGGAGATCAAGTGAGGAGGAGATGAAAGCTTGTGAACACCTATGGAGCTAGCTGAAAGGGACTACAGAGAACAGGACAAAACAAACAAATGTGCTACTGAAATCGCTTGGAACCCAAGGCAATAGTAATAATGATGATACCAATGATCTTTGAGTACTTAAAATGAAATGATATTTTCAGAAGCTTGACGTGTATCTAACTGCCCTTTGGAAACTTGTTTCCAGGTGTTGGTAGCTGGCACTACTCATGGATTGACCGTAACTTCGACAGTTATGGCTGCACGTGATTCCAGGTATGTCACATGTATCATTTTTATATTACTTACATACATACATGATATTTTCAAGTTTGTATTGTTACGAAGGTGATTGAGTCTTAGAACGATGAGTGATGCTTGAATCTTGAAAAGACGAATGAACCAAGAATTTAGGCTTTATTCATTTTACAATGAAGCCGGAATGGCTTAAACATATAAAGGAAAAAAGAGTGTTAATAGCGGTAGAGATATGAATATGACTAGATACGTATTATAAGAAAAGTTCACAACATTCACTGCGGCTTGAAAAGGAATGAGCCATTATGTCACGCTTCTCTGGTACGCAAATTGTAAGGCCGTACACGTTGTTGTTTTTCCAAAAGAATACGCCCGTTGTTCGTTTCAGTTGTATTTTCTTCACGAAGAATATTAGGATCAGTGGTCGCATCCCCATTTACTTGTTGCTCAGGAATTGCGTCGCCCTCCGGTATTGAATTTTCAACTTGATCTATATCTTCGCCTTTGGGTGCCAGATGATGAAGAGCAACTGTATCTTCACGTCCATTACCGAAGCGAACGTGAGCGAATTGCGGGTTACAATTCAATAGCTCCACCTCTTCAACCAGGGGATCGAATTTGGACTGACGAACACTCCGCCGGAGAAGTACTGGTCCTGGTACAGTGAGCCAAGTAGGAAGAGTTGTCCCAGATGTCGATCTTCGGTTATAGGTAAACAGTCGTTCGTGTGGCGTGGCGTTCGTTGCAGTACAGAGCAAAGATCTGATGGAATGCAAGGCGTCGAGTAGAACAGACTCCCATTGTGCCGTTGGTAGGCCCCGTGATCTTAATGCTAGAGTGATGGCACGCCAAAGTGTTCCATTGAGGCGCTCGACCTGCCCATTGGCTTGAGGATTGTATGAGGTAGTACGACTGGTTGCTACGCCTTTCTCCAGAAGAAATGCCCGTAATTCGGTAGACATGAAAGCAGCGCCTCTGTCGGTATGTATGTAAGAAGGCATACCGAAAATCGAAAACAGTTGGCAAAGGCAATTCATTACCGTTTGAGACGACATGTCGGGGCAGGCGAATGCAAAGGGGAATCGAGAATATTCATCGATCAGCGTGAGCAGATAGTGATTGCGGCTAGCTGACGGTAGAGGTCCTTTAAAGTCGATGCTTAACCTTTCAAAAGGTTGGGTTGCTTTTATGAGTTTGAAATTAGAGGGATTGTAAAATTGAGGCTTTAACTCACAGCATGTCACGCATTTACTGGTTACATTGCGCACCTCGTCAAGGGAGAATGGAAGGTTTCTCGAGCGTACAAAATGCATCATTCGGACAACTCCAGGATGGCACATAGAGTCATGGAGAAATTTCAAGTCGCACACTGACTGCAAGGAACCGCAGAAACTACGGGAAAATGTATCAGCAGCTTGATTATCCCTTCCAGGACGATAAATGATGTCATATTGATAAGGGGATAGCTCAATTCTCCAACGCATTATTTTATCGTTCTTGATTTTGCCTTTATGAATCTTGTCAAACATGAATGCTACTGAACGTTGATCAGTGACAAGTTTGAAGTGATTTCCGAGAAGGTAATGCTTCCACTTACGAATTGCTTCAACCACGGCATAGGCTTCTTTCTCAACCGATGAATGATGTTTCTCACTTCGAGAAAAGAAGGCGACAGGTTTACCATTCTGGTTTAATGTAGCTGCAATTGAGACATCTGAAGCATCTGTTTCAACAACAAGGGGTGCTTTCGGATCAACTACCACAACGACTGCACGTTCTAAGTCGTCTTTCAGTTTGTCAAAAGCATTTCGAGTTTCGATATCAAGAGGGAAAATCCGATTATTTACCAATGGGTGGATTTTATCTGAGAAGCGAGGGATCCACTGTGAATAATAAGCAAATAATCCAACGGCCCGTTGTTGAGATTTGATATCTGTGGGTGGTTCTAGATCACGAAGAGGTTTTAGCCGATCGGGATCTGGTTTAATAACCCCTTTGAAACTTCATAACCGAGTAATTGTATGCTTCTGCTTGAGATCACACTTTTGGAATCATTAAGGGTTATTCCATAATTGCGTGCTGCTACCATAAACTTGTTTAGATTTTTGTCGTGTTCCTCCTGAGTTTTGCCGCAGATAGTGACATTGTCAATGTAGGCAAACGTGCTTGTGAGTTGTTCTTTACTGATCAATTCATCGATAATGCGTTGAAAACAAGCTACGCCATTGGTAACACCAAAAGGAATTCGGCAAAATTGGTAAAGTTTCCCACAAGCCTCGAAAGCAGTATATGGTTTATCTTCGTTCCTTAGGGCAATTTGATGATAAGCATTCTTCAGATCAAGAGTGCTGAATATGTCATATTGTGCGATTTTTTCTATCATTTCGTCAATCCTAGGTAATGGGTAAGCATCCAGAAAAGTGAATCGATTGATTGTCTGACTATAATCAACTACCATCCTCTTTTTATGGCGTTCGTTTGACGTAACAAGAACTTGAGCTCGCCAAGGAGAATTAGAAGGTTCAATAACACCTTCTTGCAGTAACCGGTTGACTTCGGTGGAAATAAAACTTTCATCTTCACGAGAATAACGCCGGGATTTTATCGCGATCGGTTTACAGTCTTTTGAAAGATTTTCAAACAGAGTAGGCAGGTCGACGCGAACACAAGGTAGACCACAGAGAGAAAAAGGCGGCTTTGATCCCCCAAAAGGAATCTCAATGTGTTTGTGAAGTTTTAAAAAATCATGTCCAAGAAGGACGTCTGCACATAAATTATGAAGAATGGAAAATTTGAATAGATCATAAGTGTGGTTTTTATAGCAGATGGATAGAAAACAATGTCCTTCAGTATGACTAGTAAGATTCGTACTCGCCATTGTGATTCTGTTTCGAGACTTATGGACTTTCCAGTTATACTTACGAACAACTGAGGAAGAGATGTAGCTCTCACTGCTTCCGGTATCCACTAGAGCTTGCATTGATTTCCCATTGACAGTAAGCTGCGTAACAGCATCAGTGAGACTTTGAGGTGCTGAAGCCACAACGAGAGATGAAATTATAGAGTTAACTGAAGATGGACCTTTTTTCGTAGATGGCGCAGACCTGCAAACCTTCTGAAAATGTCCTTGCTTGCCACAAGCTTTGCAAACTGCATCACGGGCGGGGCATTTGGAACGAGGATGTCTACGATTACCACAGAAAAAGCATTTGGATTCAACGGCAGCAATGGTTGTTTCATTGACGGAGGGTGTGGAATCTGATGAATGAGGTACATCATGTAAAGAAATGGACGCGCAAGGTGTAACAGGATTGTTGTATGACTGCGATTGTTGATGTGCCATCTCTAGAGCTCGTGCTTGATCGTATGCCGCTTGAAAAGTTAAAGTACGCTGTTCTAATAGCCTCTGGCGTATCATCGAAGACTGTATACCTGAGATGAATGAATCACGTAGAGATTCGTTACGATGTTCTTCGGCTGTAACTGCCCTGAATGAACAATCTGTAGTCAGCGACTTGAGTCGACGAACAAACTGATCCAGATTTTCGCCAGATTCTTGTTTACACGTTGCTAACAAGTGTCGAGCAAACACTTCGTTGCAAGGCTGCATGTAGAGACTCTTGAGAGTGTCGATAGCTTCTTCGTATGTTTTGCATTCAGAAATGCATTCGTATACAGAAGTAGAAATATGATTGAAGAGAATATGTAGTTTCGAAGGATTTTCGGATCCCATTGATTCAATGAAGTAGGAAAAGTCGCAAACCAGTGATCCCACTTCTTGGCAGCTCCAACTGCGTTAGGTTCTACGTCGAACCGATCAGGTCGGAAAAATCGTTCCATGAATATTGTAAAATGAATAAATTGTTACGAAGGTGATTGAGTCTTAGAACGATGAGTGATGCTTGAATCTTGAAAAGACGAATGAACCAAGAATTTAGGCTTTATTCATTTTACAATGAAGCCGGAATGGCTTAAACATATAAAGGAAGAAAAGAGTGTTAATAGCGGTAGAGATATGAATATGACTAGATACGTATTATAAGAAAAGTTCACAACATGTATCTTAGCGAGTAGATTTGTATTGAAATGTAAATTGAGTAGAGCTATAGTTCATTGGTTTACCGATTCACCTTTATTTTCAATGTATAAAAGACAACAAATATTAATAAAACAGTTCTTTCAAACTTTCAACAACCATCTTCATGCGACCGCTACTTTCATGCAAACTCACCACTTCTCAAAATGTAGTTCAACATACTATTCATGCTCTAAATGCTGCACTTAAAGGGGTTATCTCGCACTCCAACTCTATGTTACACTGTACCAGTTTTCGATGGCTCCCACAAATCCCCACTACAACACCCAAAGCTTGCTTTCGGTGATATCCAGTGGTGTCGTGCTCGTGTTCTTAAAATGTTCCCAACCTCTTCATGGGTTACCATCCTAGAGTGCTCTGGATCCAGTTATGTAGCGTGCCACCAAGCAAGTTGGTCCTGGGTGTGAATCACCCACTCCTATGTTATTTCATAATCATACATGAACCTGTCCCTTAAGTCACATCATTACACCTGCCTCACGTCACCGAGGACCAGTTGTATCCCCCCAGTATTCCGCTAGCTCTCCACCCCGCACTGTCTCTCATTACGAAACTCTTCATACTATCCCCCAACTTTTCCTTTTTGGGGTCGCCAGGCGCTTCTCCACTGTGCGGGGGTGGGCAGTCAGCATTTCCTGCCACGGCTACCATGACGCCCATAAAATTGTCATTAACTTTCCTGAGGGTCTCTATCCAACAAATTTCCTCCTTCCCAACCTCCCAATCGCGATGTAATCCTCTTAATTCTTGCAAGTACTACATCTCCACACCCTTCTTCTACTCTCCTACCAAATTGCCCGTTGATCTCAACTTATGCGGTCACCAATTCTTTAAATTAAGCAGCCTTGGCATACTTCTGAAGGGGCTGCTGTCCACACCGTAACAAAGGCTGTCGTCAACTTGGAAAAATTGTTACCAAGTG